TCTCAATCATCCAGGTCAGCGGGGGTGGGTTCTAATTTTTTTTACTACCAGTTCTGTGGGCGTGGCTTATTTTATGGGCGTGGCTTTTTTTTTTTTTAATTTATATGCCGCCCTTCTCCGGAGACTCAGGGCGGCTTACAATGCGTTAAGCAATAGCCTTCATACTTTTGTATATTTTATACAAAGTCAGCTTATTGCCCCCACAAACTGCCTTTTGAAAAAAGCACCTGGGGGGGGCAGTTGGGTGTAATAACTAGGAGACTGTGAATTCTAGTCCTGCCGAATGCACAAAGCCAGTTGGGTGACACTTGGGCCAGTCACTTAGTGTCAGCTCTAGATAGCTTCGTCAAGGTAAAGGTTCCCTTCGCACATACATGCTAGTCGTTCCCAACTCTAGGGGGCAGTGCTCATCTCCGTTTCAAAGCCGAAGAGCCAGCGCTGTCCGAAGACGTCTCCATGGTCTTGTGGCCGGCATGACTCAACGCCAAAGGCGCACGGAACGCTGTTCCCTTCCCACCAAAGGCGGTTCCTATTTTTGCTACTTGCATTTTTTTTTACGTGCTTTCGAACTTCTAGGTTGGCAGAAGCTGGGACAAGTCAGAGGATCTCACCCTGTTACATAGCACTAGGGATTCGAACCGCTGAACTGCTGACCTTTCGATCGACAAGCTCAGCGTCTTAGCCACTGAGCCACCGCATCCCTTTCTAGGTAGCTAAGAGAATGGCAAACCATTTCTGAAAAACCTTGCCAGACAGTCACGGGGAACTAGTCTAGGTAGCTGCCAGGAGTGACCACTGACTTGAGGGCACAAGCAAATGCACACTCACACATACACACAAAATCATTGGATTAATTGTCTATGGAGAATCTCAGTTATCCAAGTCATAATTGTCCAACCATGGTGTTTTTTTCAAGCGGCAACTGGACTTTGTTGGTTTTTTCTTTGCAGACATTTTGCTTCTCATCCCATTCCTCAATTCTGAACTGAAGAAGCTTCTCGGATGAGAAGCGAAACGTCTTCAAAGGAAACCAAGAAAGTACAGTTGAACTCTTGAAAAAAAAAAAGCACTTTTGGGACATGGAATTAATGTACTAACCACCTTGAAGAGAGTTATGGAAGCCAGTCACTGACTCCTCCTATGAAATATATGGTCCACCATCAAGATGAAGCTTCTGAGAACAGAAACGAAAGGAAGCCTCGGAAATTTTGAAAGCTAAATCCTAATCAAGGATTATTCGGATAAGCTCATGGTGTGTCTTAGGAAGGAACAATCCTTCCCGGTAAGCATAAAACGATGCACAATAATTGGATGATTACCAGTGGAGTCTAAAGGCATATGCAAAAATATCTACCCGGATCCAACCCAACGTCTTAAAACTACTAAGCCACACTGCCTCTTCCGTAAACAATCCGCAACTGAATAGTCTGGCAAAGAACCAAACTTCCACACTGTCTGAATGAAAGTGACAGCTCTGCAATTTTGCATATGTTGCAGAAGAGCTCCTAGTATCTTTAAAGTTATCAAAGAATGTGTGTGTGTGTATGTGTGTGTGTGTGTGTGTGTGTGTGTATGTATGTATGTATGTATGTATGTATGTATGTATGTATTCCTCTTTAGCCAGGTTCTTCCTACGTAAACCAAGATTTTTCTGCAGCCCTAGTTCAGTGAAATCCCAATCCACTAGTTTCTAGGCTTTTTTTCTCCAGCAGCCAGCAAGCTCCCATTGGGAGACTAAGGAGACTAAGATAGATCTATTTCGGACTTATAAGCCCTCATCAGTTAGCCACACCTTCATCCCATGTATCCTCCCTGTAAAGGTACTGTATATTGCACGCCCCTGATGACATCATCACCATATAAATGAGGCCATCTGCATAATTTGCCTCATTTGCATGATGACATCACAAGGCAAGGAATTCTCACTACTCTTCCCCCACCCTCCTTAAGCAACAGACTCATGCGTGCATATGCTTTATTTAAATTTCAAATGCCAGGGGAATCTTTTATGCACGGCCACAGGGGTGGGCTGAGTGTTAGTAGGAGCTGTCTCCAGATGACCAGAAAGCTTGGGGAAACATGATTTCCAGCTGCAAATAATAAATATCAGCTTTACAAAAAAAAAAAAAACAGACATAAAGCCAGAAACTTTGAGGGACATCTCTGAAGCTGCTTCAAAATCCCCAGTTTGTCATGTATGCAGACATTTTGAGGGGGTGGGGGTGGAGGGAGAAAAAAGCCCCCCCCCCTCCGTGTCTCAGTCAGGGACAAGACCAAATTACAACCCTTCAATTATCAGGTTACAAACAAAACATTATTTTCCCTCCGCCAAAATCCAGCAGACTCTCTTAAAAGCATACGCATGAAAACCTTACAGCAAGGGTGGGAAATATGGAGCCCTCCAGATGTTTATGAACTTCAATTCCCAAAGGTCCCAGGCAAAACGCCTATCAAAAAAAAAAAGGATGACAGAAACTCGAGTTTGGCAACATCTGGATGGCAACCGCTTCTCCAATCTTGACAGGAGTCCAAGGGTGCCTCCAAATTTTTTTTTTTATAAAAAAAATCCTTTCTTCTCTTCTCTAACTCTCTTGGAAGGGGGGGGGGGGGGGGGGGAAAGCCAAGTAAATTCCAGATGTTCAGGAAAACACATTGGATATTTTTTTTGCAAATTGGGAAGAGAGCAATTCAAACAAATACCTGCCCGATCACGAGGTTGTATTTTCACTGCACATTTTGGCATGTTTACTCACGAAGTAATCCGGCTGCAAAGCACTCTGAAAACTTCTAGTATGATCAAAACAAGGAACTTAAAACTTATTGCAAGCCTAACTACTTCAGTTTTGTAGGCAAACGGCAATTTTTGGCACTGTTGTGATAACCGTTCTACTACCCCAGCCTTCCCCAACGTGATATCCACTGTTGGGTAGGGTTAAGCTCCTGTCATCCTCAGCCAGCATGTCACTGGAAATGATGGGAAACCGTATCCAGCATAGTCCTCAACCTACAGCAGTTCATTTAGTGACCGTTCAAAGTTACAACACCGAAGGGACCGACGACCATTTTTCACACTTACGACCACTGTAGCAGCATCCCCTTAGGTCGTGCAATCAAAATTCAGACAGCCTGGTAACCGATTCATATTTATGACAGTTGCCAAATCCTGGAGAACCCCTTTGGCAGCCTTCTGACAAGCAAAGTCCAGAGGGAAGCCAGATTCACTAACTTTAACAACCGCAAGGATTCGCTTAAAACCACCGTGGCAAGATGTTGTAAAAATGGAGCAAAACTCACTTAACGCCTGCCTCACTCAACAACAGGGTTCAATTGAGATCGTAAGTGGAGGACCACTTCTATTGGTGAACCTAACAGAGGACAGAATCTAAAAAAGAGGAGGCTAAAGGCTCCTGGAAAAGAAAGGATGCCTCAACTGGGGGCTGCATTCACAAACCACGATTAGTTCAGCGTTGTGGGTTCAACCACTGGCTGCCCTCGTTCATGGGAACTTAGCCTTCAACACGGTTTACAAGCCATCATTGTTTCAATCGCACTGCACGCCGCTGAGGCCAAGCAAGCAAATCAAGACTAAGCGGATCCATGAGTGATTCAGAGCAACATCTGGAAGATCAGAGGAGAGATCTTTCCATTCCCCTTTGCAGGGGCCCATCAAGAAGTCCCGGCCAAAGAAGACAACGGAACTGGCCACCTCCAAACACCCTCGGAAGGTTCCAGAACCTTTCAGCAGCCAAGCCACAAGGGAGGGACCAAAGGGGGCATAATCCACCAAGCCACAACAGGGGGGAAAAAACATGGAAGCCCTCCAGATGCCTTCTAACCTGATCTCCTGTACCGGGGACCTTATTCTCTGGGACTAGGGGAATTGAATTCAAAAACCTAGGAAAGGCATTTAGGCAACCACTGGGTTGAGAATGTTAACAAGGAGCAGCAGCTCATAGGAAACCATCTTCCCCTGTCTAGGATGATGGGAGTTGTAGTTCCCATCGTGGGAGGGTACCGAACTTAAATAAGGAGCAGCAGCTCATAGGAAACCATCTTCCCCTGTCTAGGATGATGAGAGTTGTAGTTCCCATCATGGGAAGATACCAAACTTTAATAAGGAGCAACAGCTCATAGGAAACCAGTGTCCCCTGTCTAGGATGATGGGAGTTATAGTTCCCATCAGGGGAGGGGAGGGTACCAAACTTAAATAAGGAGCAGCAGCTCATAGGAAACCATCTTCCCCTATCTAGGATGATGGGAGTTGTAGTACCCATCAGGGGAAGGTACAAAACTTAAATAAGGAGCAGGAGCTCATAGGAAACCATCTTCCCCTGTCTAGGATGATGGGAGTTGTAGTTCCCATCATGGGAAGGTACCAAACTTTAATAAGGAGCAACAGCTCATAGGAAACCATCTTCCCCTGTCTAGGATGATGGGAGTTGTAGTTCCCATCATGGGAAGGTACCAAACTTTAATAAGGAGCAACAGCTCATAGGAAACCAGTGTCCCCTGTCTAGGATGATGGGAGTTGTAGTTCCCATGGTGGGAGGGTACCAGAGTAGGAGAAAGGCCAGAAAGAATCACTGGAAGCAGCTGAGGCTATAAACAGGGTGGGGGCACCAGTTAAGATGTAACTCCCACTCCGGGGAAGCCCAGCAACAGTAATGCGGATTCCGGCATGTGTCCCCCCACCCCAATTCAGGGACCCTCCCTCTGCCTCCCACATTCAGAAAGAGCCAGGAGCCCCGCAGGCTAAAGCACTTTTTGGCCCAAACCCCCTAGGTATCCTACACCCCCCCCCCCCCCAAAAAAAAGGAAGGGGGAGAGAAAAAAGCGCCCCCTCTTTTCTCCCCAACGCGCCCTTAAAAAGACGACCCGGTCGAGCCATTTGCAAGCGGGCGCCCGCGAGCGTTCGCAAGCGACGAAGGGGTCCCGTCCCTTCTCTCCCCGAGCCCGGATGGAGCGGCCGAAGGAGAGCCGGGGGAAAAGGCGAGACTCACCCTGGAGCCGGAACATTTGCCAAACGCCCGGTGGGGGCAGCCTTGCGGGATTCCCGAGCCGCCGTCGCCGTCGCCCCCGGAGCTTTTGGGGTTCACCGGCCATTCCTCCAGCCCTTTCCGCGCCAGCGAGGCGTTCACGGCGAAGCTATCACCTGGAGGAGCAGAGCAAACCCGGGGTGGGGGGGGGGGGGGGTGGGCGGGGGGGCCCCCTTTCCCCCTCCCTTGCCCCCCCTTCCCACTTTAAGCGTCCCCCCACCCTCCTCCTCCTCCATGGGAGTGGGGGGGGGGTGGAAACCGGACAGCAGCAGCCCCAGGACCGGCCACCCACTCGGGAAAGCGGCGTGCAAACTTTTCCTTTCCCCCTTCACAGCAACCACTTGGGGGGGTGGGGGACGCGCTCCCAGCCCCTGGCCGGGAAAAGTTGGGGAGGGTCCGAAATCAGGAGGAGAGAGAGAGAGAGAGAGACCCCTCCCAACCAGCCCCTCTTACCTTCGGGGTTCTCTCGAGGTTTGCAAGCAGCAGCTAGCGGAGATCCAGCGGGGGGGGGGGGGGGGGAAAAAAAGCAGAGAGAGAGAGAGGCGGGTTACAAGAACCCCCCAAAAAGGGGGAAAAAAATGATGGTTAGAGATCCCAACCGTGGCTTAAGCTTCTCCGGGGCTTCTTCAGCGCCCCCCCCCCCCCCCCACCCCCCAACCCCCCCCCCGGGCCCCCCCCCCCAAAAATCCGGCCATGGGACCCCCCCTTTTTTTTTTCCACCCAGCCGCCTGCCCCCCTTCCTTTCCCCGCCGCAACTTTGCAACTCAACTCAACTCACCGTGCTTGGAGTGAAGTTTCCCCATCGCTTTGCCCGGCTCTGCGCCCGCGATGGCATTGGAGAGCCTTACGGCCGGCGCTGGTTGTCTTGGGGGGGGTGGGAGTGGGGAAGGGGGGGGTCCTGCCTTCTACGCTCCCTCCGCCCCGGCGATTTGGGGGAAGGGGGTGTAGAGCGGGGAGAGGGGGGTCCCCTAAGTCAAGCAGCCGGGAAGCTGGCTCTGAGTCCCGGTTGCAGCTAGCGAGGCGGCTCCTTTTGCTTCTTCTCCTCCTCCTCCTCCTCCTTCAATCTTGCCCCGTTTTTAGCAATCCGCGTGCTTCCTTCCTCGCCCTCCGGGGCTTTACTCGCGAGGAGCAGGGGGCGAGAAGGCGAAGGGGCGAGCGGCGGCGGCCGCTTCTTCCATCCGGCGGGAGCAGCACGGAGACCGGAGCGCTCGGGCGGCGGCAGCAGCTGCGCGTCTGTATTTCTCTCTCTCTCTTCTTTCTATTCCTCTCTCCCTCTCTCTCTCCTGCTATTCGACACTCTCTCTCTTCTTTCCCTCTCTCTCTCTCTCCTGCCACTCGAGTCTGTCTCTCTCTCTCTCTCTCTCTTCTTTCTTTCCCTCTGTCCCTCCCTCTCTCCTAACACTCGTCTCTCTCTCTCTCTCTCTCCCTTCTTTCTAGTCCTCTCTTCCCCTCTCTCCTGCTACAGTATTCTACTCTCCCTCTCTCTCTCTCTACACTCGTCTCTTTCTCCCTTCTTTCTATTCCCCCCTCTCTCTCTCGCCACTCTTCTTTCTATCCCTCTCTCCTGCTACTCAAATCTCTCTTTTCTTTCTTTCCCTCTCTCCTTCTCTTTCTCTCCTGCTACTCGAGTCTGCCTCTCTCTCTCTCTCCCTCCCTTCGTCCCCCCCCCCTCCGGTCTTTTTTTTTTTTCCCTTCCCCTTCCCAAAGACAGAGGCGGTTACGAAAGACTTTCCTGCACCCACCAGAGGCCGTGATTGACACCTCATGGAGATTAGACCACTTGCAGGCAACCTCTGGATGCCGATTGGAGGCGGGCGGCAACATGAAAGGGCTCTTTTGGAGTCTCCCCAAAAAAAAAAAAAAAAAAAAAAAAAGCAGCAGCAGCCACCCGGCCCTCCTGAAATAAAAGGAGCGGCGGCGGCTTTGAGGTATTTCATTTCCAGCCAGGCGCAGGCAGCAGAACCCAGAGCCACGGAGGAAGGAAGGGAGGAAGGCAGCAGGCAGGCAGAGAAGGAGGGAGGCAGGCAGGCAGGCAGAGAAGGAGGGAGGCAGGCAGGCAGGCAGAGAAGGAGGGAGGCAGGCAGGCAGGCAGAGAAGGAGGGAGGCAGCAGGGAGGCAGAGAAGGAGGGAGGCAGGCAGGCAGGCAGAGAAGGAGGCAGGCAGGCAGGCAGGCAGAGAAGGAGGGAGGCAGGCAGGCAGGCAGAGAAGGAGGGAGGCAGGCAGGCAGGCAGAGAAGGAGGGAGGCAGCAGGCAGGCAGAGAAGGAGGGAGGCAGGCAGGCAGGCAGAGAAGGAGGCAGGCAGGCAGGCAGGCAGAGAAGGAGGGAGGCAGGCAGGCAGGCAGAGAAGGAGGCAGGCAGGCAGGCAGGCAGAGAAGGAGGGAGGCAGGCAGGCAGAGAAGGAGGGAGGCAGGCAGGCAGGCAGAGAAGGAGGGAGGCAGGCAGGCAGGCAGAGAAGGAGGCAGGCAGGCAGGCAGGCAGAGAAGGAGGGAGGCAGGCAGGCAGGCAGAGAAGGAGGGAGGCAGGCAGGCAGGCAGAGAAGGAGGGAGGCAGGCAGGCAGGCAGAGAAGGAGGCAGGCAGGCAGGCAGGCAGAGAAGGAGGGAGGCAGGCAGGCAGGCAGAGAAGGAGGCAGGCAGGCAGGCAGGCAGAGAAGGAGGGAGGCAGGCAGGCAGGCAGAGAAGGAGGGAGGCAGGCAGGCAGGCAGAGAAGGAGGGAGGCAGGCAGGCAGGCAGAGAAGGAGGGAGGCAGCAGGCAGGCAGAGAAGGAGGGAGGCAGGCAGGCAGGCAGAGAAGGAGGGAGGCAGGCAGGCAGGCAGAGAAGGAGGGAGGCAGGCAGGCAGGCAGAGAAGGAGGGAGGCAGGCAGGCAGGCAGAGAAGGAGGGAGGCAGCAGGCAGGCAGAGAAGTAGGGAGGCAGGCAGGCAGGCAGAGAAGGAGGAGGCAGCAGGCAGGCAGAGAAGGAGGGAGGCAGGCAGGCAGGCAGAGAAGGAGGGAGGCAGCAGGCAGGCAGAGAAGGAGGGAGGCAGCAGGCAGGCAGAGAAGGAGGGAGGCAGGCAGGCAGGCAGAGAAGGAGGGAGGCAGGCAGGCAGGCAGAGAAGGAGGGAGGCAGGCAGGCAGGCAGAGAAGGAGGCAGGCAGGCAGGCAGGCAGAGAAGGAGGGAGGCAGGCAGGCAGGCAGAGAAGGAGGGAGGCAGGCAGGCAGCAGGCAGAGAAGGAGGGAGCAGCAGGCAGGCAGAGAAGGAGGGAGGCAGGCAGGCAGAGAAGAGGGAGGCAGGCAGGCAGGCAGAGAAGGAGGGAGGCAGGCAGGCAGGCAGAGAAGGAGGGAGGCAGGCAGGCAGGCGCGCCAGCTCGCTGGAGACGGCGGGGTTTTTTTCTCCTCCTTTTCGGCTCCTTCTCCCCCCCCCTCTGCGAGTGGGGAGCGGGCAAAGGCGCACCCCGGCTTGGAAACTTGCGCCCCCCCCCACTCCCCACTCCCTTCCCCATGCGCGCCTTCGAGGACTGAACCCCGACTTGGGATAAGGAATCCTGCGCGCGCGGCCGGTCGTGGGAATGCATTTTTCTCCGCTCTCTTTTGCCCGTGTCCGGGCTTCCCTGGCAGGCTTTACCAGATTAATAGTGTGGGAAAGGGACCTTGGAGGTCATCTAGTCCAACCTTCCCGCCCTCAAGCAGGAGACCCTACGCCATTTCTGACAAGAGGACAGTCTCTTCTGGAAAGCTTCCAGTGATGAAGGTTCCACGACTTCCGAATAAGAGAATAATAAAGGTTTTAAGCCTTTGGTAGTACAGTGGTCTAAGGCACCCTGTTATTAAGCTGGTTATTAAGACCAGCTGCCTGCAATTACTGCAGGTTCGAATCTCGCCAAGGCTCAAGGTTGACTCAGCCTTCCATCCTTTCTAAGGTAGGTGAAATGAGGACCCAGTTTGTGGGGGCAATAAGCTGACTTTGTATAAATATACAAAAAGGATGAAGGCTATTGCTGAGCACATTGTAAGCCGCCCTGAGTCTCCGGAGAAGGGCGGCATATAAATCAAATTAAAACAAAAACAAATAAAACAAACTGAGTTGGAAGGGACCTTGGAGGTCATCTAATCTAACCCTCCCGCCCTCAAGCAGGAGATCCTACACCATTTCTGACAAGAGGGCAGTCCAGTCTCTTCTGGAAAGCTTCCAGTGATGAAGATCCCACGACTTCCGAATAAGAGAATAATAACAGATTAACAGAGTTGGAAGGAGATCTTGTAGGCCATCTAATCCAGGGGTCTCCAACTTTGGGCAACTTGAAGACCTGTGGACTTCAACTCCCAGAATTCCTCAGGCAGCTGGCTGAGGAACTCTGGGAGTTGAAGTCCTCAGGTCTTCAAGTTGCCAAGGTTGGAGACCCCTGATCTAGTCCAACTCAAGCAGGAGACCTTACATCATTTCTGACAGATGGCAGTCCGGTCTCTTCTGGAAAGTCTCCAGGGAAGAAACTCCCACAACTTCCGAAGGTAACTTCTGTCCCATGGGTTGATTGCTCCTCTGCCTCTCTACTGTCAGCCTCTGGAAGTTCCAGAGTCTGCACATCACACCCCGATGGCCCTGGCCCCGTCTGTGCCTCCGACGCAGAGCCCTCATCCAGGCCTTCCCCAGCCTACAATACATTCGTATTCATCCTTTCTTCTATTTTTCAAGTGACTCGAGGCAGCGAACATCTCCTATTTTCCCCATGACAACAACCCTGTGAGGTAGGCTGGGCTGAGAGAGAGAGAGAGAGAGAGAGAGAGAGACTGACTGGTTCAAAGTCTCCCAGCTGGCTTTCATGCCTAAGGCGGAACTTGAACTCATGGCAAGTTCATAGGTTCTTACTTAAGGGCCCTTCCGTTCGAATTCCTCTTCCGTTGGCCTGACAGGTTGCCCCAGACCGCTTCAAAAGCTTTTGTCACAGGAGCAAAAAAATACACAGATTTACACAAATCTCGGTGCAACGCACACCTTCCCTGCTGTCACAAGCTCCAGTTGAATGACCTAGTTAGAATTGTATCAATCCTTTGTCGTAGTTCTGGATCTCTCCTTTTTTTTTTTTTTTTTTTTTTTTTACAAAGAGAGTACAAACAACCCAGCGGAGTTGAAATATAACAGCACCCCAAAAAAGGCATCATTCCTTGCTAAGGGGGGGTGTACGTGTACATATTTCCTGCTAAGCCACAATGGGGTTTGTGCGAATCTATTGTGCTTTGGGGAAAAAAATCAAAGACTGTGATTGTGTGGCTTTCACCAATTTCAGCATCCTCCAGGCAGGCAGGACGTCCGAAGCAAAAGTAGGATTCATATAATATAATAAATTTATTTACGGTCACAGACCAAAATGCAAGCATAGCTACAGAAAAACATAGGGAAAAGAACATCACGAACAGCCGGCCACCAGAAGCCCCGGCTGAGAGGGACCACAGCGCTCTCCTCTAATGGTTACGGCTCTTAGAAAAATTTTTGAGACCTGAGAGGTAGTGTATGAGGAGCCATCCCCTAAACAATACAAGGCCAAATCACTATCATTGGGCCCACAGAAATCTGTCTCTAAGAGAGACATCAAATTAGTCCTGGCTACGTTGTACATGGGGCAGTGTAAAAGGACATGCTCCACAGTCTCAACCTCCGCTCTACCACAGGGACATAGCCGCTCGCCCCTCGGAAGCCTCTTGAATCGACCGTCCAGCAATGCTGAAGGCAAGACGTTAAAACGAGCAAGGGAGAAGACTCTTCTATACTTAGGGATGGTTAGAGTATAGAAATATGAGGCCATCCTCAGTCCAAAATTATTAAGTTGGCTGAAGACCAGAGGGGAGCAGGTTTTATTGGCTCTAGCTCTCAGATATTGTAAGTCTATGTCCACAAGCCGTTGGACTACCCTACATTGGGCATCTTTAAGGCCATAGTCTCCCATGGCATCCCCCGAAAAACCTAACAGGTGGAGTTTCTTCGTCAGATCCCTCTCCCACCGAGATGTATAGGGGTCAGCTAACACCAGGGAGAGGTAGCTGCCAGGGGCTGCCAAAAAGAGTGCCCGAAACCACCATTTAAAGGTGAGCGCACGCGCGCGGGAGCTCGCTTCATTCGCACGCGTCACCTGCACGCATGCATCCAGCCTCAAAAACATGCCTTAATGGCATAGAGCCAGGGCAGGTGGGTGAGCCCTTCCCCCCCCCCCCGCGATGTCTGAACCGGCTGAATACCACCTCTGTTCCAAAGTCAGAAAACCTCCTCAGTGGCCACCTATCTGGAAGGCACCTTGGCTGAGTATATTCCATCAACCCTGCGAATCGTGGTTTATTCCATGAATACGGTTCGGCAGCTCACCTGAATCCAACCGGTTTTAGTTCATCTGTCAATCTCCACGTGCACCTAACGCTTTTGTGGCACCTTAAAAAGAGCGATCAATTTTACATTCATGTTATGTCTTCATCGATAAGAGTGCCAGTTTGGTCTGGTGGAAAAGGCAGCAGGCTAGAAACCAGGAGACTGCGAGTTCTAGTCTTGCCTTAAGCGTGAAAGCCAGTTGGGTGGCTTTGGACCAATCACTAGGAGATTGTGAATTCTAGTTCTTAGGCATGAAAGCTAGCTGGATGAATCTGGACCAAACGCTAGGAGACTGTGAATTCTAGTTCTTAGGCATGAAAGCTAG